AATAAGTTTTAAAACACCATAGATTTAAAAACAGGTCACTGACAAGTAAAAACAAAACTTATACGTATGTGATGATGTTGGTATTGAATTTACATTTTAAAGTTTACAAAGGAGAGACTTGATGCACTATGCCTTCCGGCTTTTGAATATAAAATTCCATCAGTTTTCACTCTGTCTTGTTCGTTTGAATGACAAGAAAACACTGCTTTTATTATGGAAATGGAAATGCCCTTACTTATCCTCAAGATTATGCGCTAAACCACGGAAAATTCGAGGTGATACTAAAAATCGAAGGCGTAACAAAACGAGGAACGCAACATCGCAGAAATCCGACAATTCGAGGCTAGCAATGGTTGCTTCATACTGACTGGCCCGGCGATAACAGCTCAATGCCAAACTTAGCACTTTTGAGAATCTTCGTCACTTCCGTCCCTCATTACTTATCCTAAGTTTCTCATTCTCACTGTTCACGTAACTTCCTTGCACAGGACGCTTCGAGACGTGACTGCGTAGGGAAGGCAAACTTCACGCAAAATTACCAACAATTAACCTGCCTGTTTTAAAATTGTGTTTTTTTGGTCGTGCACAAGTGCACATGACGCGAGGAAATACGCAGGATGAAACTGTTGAAACAAATTACAAAGACTGACTACAGCACAAATAACAAAGTAATTCAAACAAGACGGATACCTTTCAAAAATGGTTCTCACAAAGAAATTGTGCAAGAGATGCGACAGGTAAACCACAATTTAAGGTACAGTTATTTTAGTTATTATTGCACGAAGAGAGCAAGTTATTTAAAACATTGACGAAGAAGGCAAAGTATTTTTGCACCTTTAAGCTGTTGTGTCGTTGGCCATAATTCCTCTTTTTTAACAGTTATCACTAAGGCAATCCTTATTGACCAATACTTTTTACTGACATTTCCACAACAGCAATGCTGCACTGCTAAACTAAAAGCGACATTAAGTGGAAGTCTGGAAGTTGTTATTTCAACGCTCAAATTTCCTAAAAAACGATACGAGGAAAAATACTTATCAGGGCATGAGACTATTTCCACTTTATATTCAGAAAAAGGTTCCATTTTCCCCTTTCGTGCTCGGCTTAATGCATAACATGCGAACGGCTTACTTCAGGTTATTGTCAGTAATTCTGAATTGTCTTAGTCCGCGGTCCGTTCGAAATTTCCAGTAACCCAACGATCAACCATTTTTCTCAGTGCTTTGTGTACCAGCCAATTGCCGAAAAAACAGCTTTGTCAGTCCATACATCTCTAACTAACTATGTTGTCTTTTCAAAAAGTTCTCCAGTGCCCCGATAAAAAGCAATCTCTCCATTCAGCTCATTTTTTATCTTTCGTGAGTAATAAATAACAAAGTCTTTGTTAAAACCGACACACAAATCCGTGTAATACGTTGCATCCTAATACTACTTCCAGCAATTGAATATTAGCCAGTCACTTGCTTTCACGGAATTCTCACATCTCGGAATAATTATTTGGTTCTGCTCGCGGCTGCAATTGAGTAGAATTTAATTTTAACAATACAAAAGAAAAATCTTTTCAAGAGGAAATCCTTTTCAGGTGTTGCAAGAAAACCACGCCAATCCATTGTAATGGTTAAGCCTTAGGCCATGTATCAGTCTAACACTGTATAGCTGTCATTGGAAACCAAAAAAGGCATGAACGAATACATATTCGCATTGCATTCAAAACTCTGAACTGCAGACAAGAACCACTTCAGTCGTGCAAGTGAGTGAGTTGGTGAGTTTGATTGTCAAGAAACGGCATCTTCGGCACATTTGTTATGCGATCAGTGAATATTTTTTGTATCAGTGATCAAAGACGCAGCAAGGTAATAGTCTTCCTTCATTGCGTTTGGTTTCTTATGCTTCCTTAACCGGCTTATGCTGCCTCCAGTACGAGTGGTAGTTGAAGTACTACCGTCTCCTCATGTGTTGAAAATGAATTTCTTACGCAAAAAGAGGAAACAACTGTATTTCCTCTTAGTATGTTACAAAAAACAAATAATCGATGTTATCTTACTATTAATATTTTTTTGCACGGCAACCCAATTTTTCACCTCTTCATTAACAAGTTTGGTTTCTCCTTCCACCCTCTGGCACATAAATTACCACCCAGCTTTTGTATGGGGTCCCGGGTGCCCATTTTTTTCTTACTTTTTGCTTGCTTTGACGCCATTAGAAGGGGTTCTGTATAGTTCTAATATAAAACGACACGTTATGAACATCATGTAATTTCAACAGAACTCCTAGTGGATCCACTTCCAATCAATAAACGAAAAACCAACCAATAAATTTAAAACCAGCGTCCAAACAGGAATAAAAAAATGTAAAAATATGGTTCGCTGCCGCATCTAAAGGAGCTCGGCACGACGCTGCGTTCTTAGGAAACCTTAAGATTATTAAAAAAAGTAATTTTAGCAAATGAAGTTAAATATAACCAGATGGCTTAGAGAAAAAAAATTATTATCTTATCTAAGGATAAATAAACGCCTGAGTCGTCATATGAACACGAAAAAAATGGATTTTACAAGGCATATGTTAAAACACGAAAATGAATACAGACGCAAAACGTATTGTATCCAAAAACGGCTGTGTGAATTGCCAAGCACTGGTTCATCGTGTAGCAACACGAATAATTATATATTCATTCACAAAATGAATGCTGAACAACAGGTAGAGAGAATATATTATATATGAGACTACTGAGGGCAATTTTAAGGACATCGTAATTGTTTTCTAGTCTCCTACAATTGTAATAAGATGCTAGTACGGAACCAGAGCCCTGGTGCGAAACTTTCTAGATGCGACATTAACGACATGAAATTACTTTTAAAGATCATAAGCCAAGAGAAATCATTAAAAACCAAGTATGATCAACCTTAGACTGTGTAAAAATCTCCGGCAAAATACCCTGCAAAAACTGCATTTGATGATTAATTTCTGCTTTTCTCACTTTCTCTAATAGGATTGGAAGACCCAACACTTAACTAAGAGGAAAAAAAAGAATTTGTGACAAACCAGCAAAACTATATCATTCAGCAAGGATTCAGTTAGAAAGCAAGAAGAGAGTTATCCTCAACCTACAACGCGTCAATTAGACTACATATCGTTTGTTCCGTTAAAAGCTGAGTAGTTCGCTGAAACGCGAAGAAAGGAAGCCAACAGAGCCTCAGCAGTGCCAGTACTGTAGGCCAACTATTCTCGCCGGAAAACTGTCAAGAAGTAAACATGAATAACACAACTCAAAACGACATGAACAATGCATCTCAAACGACAAGTGACGACCTTGGTGACGTGGAGAGAAAAATTTTTCTGGCATTTTACTCCACTGTGTTAGTGCTAACCGTGCTCGGAAACACTCTGGTATGCGTCGCCATTTATGTCGACCTGCGCTTGCGCAGTCCAACTAACTGGTTTATAGCATCGTTGGCAGTGAGCGACCTTTTTTACGGGCTCGCAGGCCTACCTTTTCGTATTGCATCCATGCTAAGAGTCATGCCTAATACTGCAGTTTGCTCGCTATGGGTTTGGATAGACATGATATGCGCCGCTGCCTCTATGGCTAACTTAGCAGTGATATCAGTAGACAGATATTTAAAAATAACCAAACCATTTGCTTACCATAGAAATATGACAAAACGGCGCTCGTTTGGTGCTATTGGCGGCGTGTGGATTTACGCAGCCACTCTAGCGTCGCTGTCTATTATCAGGTGGCCTGGAGCGGGAGGCGTATATGTGGATCCCGTTACTGGAATGTGCCCGAATGACAATAAAGTGTTCTATACTGTGGCTAACATTGTGGCTTTCTTGGTTCCGCTTATTGTGCTTTGTGTTAACTACTCAATGATTTTGCGGACGGCCTGGATTCAGTTCAAAAAAATGCAACACAGTATTGTGAATACCAGCAGCAAAGAAGATAAACGTAAACAGAAGAGTGTTACGCGGGACTTCAAGGCCACTAAGACCTTGGCTATAGTTCTGTTAACTTTTACTATCTGCTGGGCACCGTTTTTCATCATGTTCACCATCCATCAATACGACCCCCTATACCTGGCGGGCCTTCCACAAGATCTAGGCAACGGTATTGTTGACACTTTCTACTATGTGCTACCAAATATAAACAGTGCGTGCAATCCAGTGATCTATGCATACTTTAACAGTGACTTCCGGCGTGTGTTTAAAAGGTTAATGTTCTCTGCCTGTGATAAGGATCTGCGTAACTATAGAAGCCGCACCAAGAGAAAAAGCTCGTTAACTAGCTTTTTCCAAAGCACTTTTGTAAGACGAGGAAGTCCACCAACGCCCAGGGACGATGGAAATCACAATTACAATCACATTCACAGTCCGTCGAATAACCATGATGAGAAGGCCTCATTCATAAATGGAGACACTGTAATTACAGAAGTGTGACATTTGAATCGAAAAAATATCATCTGTGTAGTGATGCCTCGTTACTGGCCAACGTTTGTGAGGAGTTATAATCAAAGAAGTAACATAACATCACCCCCAGAGATCATGTGAAATGGTCACGCAAAAACATCAAACAAAATGGAACATGAGGGATCAAAATTAATGAGGCCATACTGAAACGAGCTAAAATCTATGTTGTGCAGATCATTACGGTGAAAATAACGATCAAGCTACGTTAAGTGGCAAAGGAATTACTTCTGTCACCGGTAATGAAAAGAGGCATGAGCCGATTTGAGTCATTAAAAATGGCCACACAAATCAACTGGAACATTCTGAAATTATCACTTTCATTACCATAGTATAGAACAATATTACAAGTCGTTTGATGCTTAGTAGGTTTATCATGCTGCTATGTTACATACCTTAAAAAGCATTACCAAAGAGGTAAATCCATTTAACTGCATGCATCATCATCAACATGGAAATGTTGAAAGTCCTCTACCTTTGTTTCAGTAGCATGGAAATACATCCAATCAAGTGAACTGTGTTATGTGAAAGTTTATCTCTGACAGAAAGGATGCCTAGGATAAGTAGAGGAATAAATAGATAATAAGGTTGCGTTCAATTGGGAAATCTGGATTTAGATTTTGAAATCTGGATTTTGGATTTTGCAATCAAACGGGAAATCCAAAAACGGATTTCACCTCTAAGAAATCCGTCCTCAGGGTGGATTTCAATTAAGAAATCCAAATCCGGATTTCATGGATTCCCCTTTTACCGTTCCACTGGGAAATCTTGAAAAAGATTTGCAAAACTATTCTTGAAACAGCGGTCTTCTTTTTACTAATTATGTGTACGCATGCAAGACTGCTGTTCTTAAGGACAGTTTTTCCAATCCTTGAAAGGAAATCCAAAAACAGATATCCCAGGGTTTAAATCCGTTTTCGGATTTCGGGTTCGAATGCAAATTCGAAATCCAGATTTTAAAATCTAAAACCAGATTTCCCAATTGAACTGCCTTCACTGTTTTTCATCATTACCGGTATTTTAGGGACGAGGCTTCATATAGTCATACATACAGAATATAAATGCTACAAAAAGGGTTTCTCATGTGAAGAGGTATTCTTAAATGAGGTACTCTAGACTTAAAACATTACACACCTATACCGGGAGGGATTAAAAAAAAAACTCACAAACTTGTAACCCATTTCTAGAGCTAATTATATACTCAAACAATTATCCCTTTAGTTTGCACTAGACAGACGTTCAAAAGAGAATAATGCAAAAAAAAATGAAAAAGCAAGACAGCTGTCTTAAACTCTTGGTTGCAAAAAGTCTTTCTGGTCCACAGTCTTTAACTGACCATAAAGTCATGTTGATTGTGCATATAAGTTTGTGCCCTCTCAAATCCAAATGAAAGAGAGGATAACTTTTCGCTCTCTTACTCATTAGAGCTTTGTAAGGAGATATTGGGCGTGATCCATTCAACCAAAATTCAGACCAGTCTGACCGTGAAAACTGACCCACCTCAAAAGACCAGTTGGTGGACCAGTTTTTTCAAAACTTTTCCGCTTGCACTGAACCGATCCATTGAGTTTTGGACCGAAATTTCCAGAAATTTTGGTTGAATGGATCGTGCCCATAATATACACAACGGTCATCAGAAAAAAGTGAAAGAATTGTATATTGTTAAAAGATAGATGTACATGTCACAGCTGCTGTATAGCACATTAGTTATATATATTAAATATATTAGTGTACATAGCATTTTTTCAAAAAATATATCAGTCAGATTGCCTCTTTGTGTTAGCAATTTTAGTTCCTTTATTTTTGTTACATGTAGTGTCCAATTTGAAATTGTCATAATAAAACAGAGAACATAAATTGCATGTTATCAGTCTTGGGAACATTATTTTCTCGGACACACTAAAAGGTATTTCATCCCTCATTTACAAGATGACTACTCCTTCTTTCCGTCTCTGGTCCATTACCATATAAAATTTGTTTATGACGCTAAAAAAGGGTTTATCCAAGTATCCAAGTATTCTTGTTTAGTCTGCTAGGGATTGATCAAGCTCAAAACCTATTCTTGTTATTCTTGAAGTTTATAAAAAGTTGTATCATCCATGGCTGGCCATATAAAGTGTTCAAAGAATGTAATGTTTGAAGATTTTCCACAAATGGAACAGTCCATTATCCTGTAATAGACATGCACCTTACAGAAGGCCTGATTTGAAGAGGGCTTTTCTTGACTTTTTGAGCTCCCCACCACTCCCCTGACCCTTGGTAAAAGGCAGGATTAAACAGATACCGATTGGCCATTTCCAAGTCCTAAATACATTCACTTTCAAAGGAAAGCAAAACCTTTCTTGTGATTATGACTTTAATTTACATTTTCATATCAATGGCTTCGCACTTGGCCTCAGGCCATCCCCCTTTTTTTTCGTTAAGCGCCAAATGCGTTTCCTGATATTGGGTCGGTCAGTCGGGTTGAAAAGAAAAACCTAAAAAAAAATCACAAGAAGTCTCGGATTAGAAGGCCCTGGTAGCCCAGGACAACATTAAAAGTTAACATTCAAATATGTGGATTATCAAATTGCACAATATATACTAAAAACTGTTCATGTTTTTGTTCCTGTTTTTATCAATCCTATTACTATGCTCATTTTTCAGATTAAAAGAATTATTTCAAGTGAAAAATGGGTTAACTACCTAGTTACCTTTTTTTTTTTTTGAAAATGCCAAAGGACGACGGCAAACGGAGAAAAAAAAGAGGATGGCCTCACTTTGAAATATAGGCTTGGGGCAACTTGAATTGGAAACGATCTATTCAAGAACCTTGTGACTGGGTTTTTCTAAAAGAGTACTAAAAGTCCGTCTCTTTTAAGAACACGGAAATGAGATTCCTTCCAAATCACTTTACTTTTCAATGTTTATTTGAAGAATTAATATCAGAATTATCAAATTAAGTTGATGTGTTCCCTGCCTAAGATGGCATCAGAGACATACAGTGATACCCCTGCATGTGCTCTATTCTTTATCACGCTATTTCCCCCACTGCCAGTGTACAAGAAATACAGACTACAGACTAACAAACTGTCAAGTAAACAATGTGATGTAATGCTCTCAAAACTATGGAAGACTTCATCAAGTCTTGGGATAGTTTCGTGAACATTTCACAACATTGTTCAGAATTAAGCTGCGATATCGAAAGGATATCATTTATCAGATAGTTATCAGATTTTTAAAATCGATTTAGAATAGGTCTAATATCGAACATTATCAAACTTTTTATCAGATGGATAAGCAGGGCAGTAAAGTCAAGAAAAGTATTGAAGTGTCCGGGGTAAGAAAATCAAGATGGCCGAAAATATATAAACCGCGCAGCTAGCTCGATCGTTTGCATATAGAAAAAAGTTATGTATTTTGTGGGAAAAAACTTTAAGGTTAATGACCTACTTACCAATTCCGAAAGCTGACTGAGCATTATTCCAACGGCCGAAGTGGAATTGCAGACTGAAAATATATACCAGACATTTTCGATCGACTTGTCCCCTCATCAAAAACCTTTGCTCATCAACAAGCTGCAAGTTCAAACCTTAAACCGAGGCTCGTATGACTCAGCCCCAGGGCCCAATCGGCTGACCTACTTGTAATTTTGTTGGGTTTTGCGGGTCTTGACAACTGTTCCTATAGTTTCTTTCACATTTCTTCCTATTTGCGTACTTAAATACGCATAATTTAGGCGCATGACCTACATTGGGCCCAAAAAAAATAAACAGGAAAACCAAGCAAAGAAATTCAATTTCATCAGTTGAGGTAGGACTCGCCCTGCCTTTCCATGATGCAAAGTCAGCTTTGAAGAGAGTACAAGTAAACAAATATTCCTCTCATCACAATCTCTAACTTTTTTAACATACCCTTCCCTATGATATCAGTAAAGAATAGAGAACGAAAACGCGCCAACCCATAATGACAAAGATTATATCTTTTATAAGGGAGCTCTGACCACTCGATGTATTTGCTCCCCTTTTGGATAAAGGCTCCCGAACAGGTTCTAGGCTAGGTTGATGAAAAGGAATCTTTCCGTGCGCGGCGTGGCCGCTCCAGTTTGTCCCCATTCCATTGTTTCCGCACGCTTTCGTTCCCCTGCGTCAGCCTTCGAGCATTTTACAGCCTAGACTTTCTCGAAGTCCTCCGCTTCGCATTTCCGGTTCCGGCAGTTAGCCCTAGCGCGAAGGACGAGCTCTCACTCTCTCGTTCGCTTTTGCCGCAGAAAACATAAAAAATCTACCGCTCGCACTTTGCGCTCGTGAAAAAATTTGAGCTCGACTTGTAGGCAAGTCATTTACAGCCTTGCTACGCTGGCAGCGTCTTCTACCCACTTGACCTGGGCCGAGGTGTTTAAGGGANCGATATCGAAAGGATATCATTTATCAGATAGTTATCAGATTTTTAAAATCGATTTAGAATAGGTCTAATATCGAACATTATCAAACTTTTTATCAGATGGATAAGCAGGGCAGTAAAGTCAAGAAAAGTATTGAAGTGTCCGGGGTAAGAAAATCAAGATGGCCGAAAATATATAAACCGCGCAGCTAGCTCGATCGTTTGCATATAGAAAAAAGTTATGTATTTTGTGGGAAAAAACTTTAAGGTTAATGACCTACTTACCAATTCCGAAAGCTGACTGAGCATTATTCCAACGGCCGAAGTGGAATTGCAGACTGAAAATATATACCAGACATTTTCGATCGACTTGTCCCCTCATCAAAAACCTTTGCTCATCAACAAGCTGCAAGTTCAAACCTTAAACCGAGGCTCGTATGACTCAGCCCCAGGGCCCAATCGGCTGACCTACTTGTAATTTTGTTGGGTTTTGCGGGTCTTGACAACTGTTCCTATAGTTTCTTTCACATTTCTTCCTATTTGCGTACTTAAATACGCATAATTTAGGCGCATGACCTACATTGGGCCCAAAAAAAATAAACAGGAAAACC